TCACTTCCTGTTCTTGTCTTTTTCCATTGACATACACTTCCGACAGTGTCCTTGTAAAATGTACTATTGAATATGTTAAATTGCATATACCGTTGTATGTTTGTATGCGAGTTTTTAACCTACATATATTTACATTTGCGATGCAACCCACTATATGAACATTACAAGCAGAAATGCATTTCATTCGAGTATGAAAGCATAAACTCTCGTGACGTAACACGTGGTTTACTTATGACGTCATAAATTAACATTGTTCAATGAGAGTCTTGTCGTTGCGCTTCGGACAACATGGAGAATGCCCCTGCGTGAAACGCTCAAATGACTACGGTTAACTGTTAGCGCCAATTTTATTTAAATAGGGCTGTTCTTCCAATGTAGTTTAAAAGACGGTGCATATACAAAATGCAGTAAATTAATTAATTATGTAAGAATAAATAAATAAAATCAAACAATTGTTCACAGTAAAAAATATAAATATATGGATTGAACGGCGTTTTTTTAATTTTCATGCCGGTATGAACGCAAATCAGTTACATCTATATTAAGTAGCGGGCTTCATGCAATATGGATGTAACCGATTTGCATTCATACCGGCATGAAAATAAAAATAAAAAAAGCCGTTCAATCCCTATAAAATCTATAGTAATACGAATGTAATTTTATCTCTGTTCCACTGCAGGCAAACACTATAGATCCCACTGTGGTTTTTCGTATATGTACAAGAACCTCCCCTACATTTCATTTTGGATGTAACTGTAGCGTTATTGGACAATACTTTTTTCTGTCGAAGTACCTCTGTATCCCAATTGGTCGGAGCGACAGTATAACAATCTGAGGTCCTGGGTTCGAATTCTGGTCTTGCTCCGTTGTAGTTGTAGTTTGACACTAAGAACACTGCTGTTGATTATATGTTGGTGGTTATTATTTTTTACATAAAATTCCTGTTTTTATTACAGCTATCATTATGCCAGAAAAAGCAGTTTTCAATGAATATTTACAATATTTGGCAGTAGTGCAGGGATCTTTAGACATTGCTATTGCCGTATCTATGCTTCATGTATTACCGACGCAATTTATCTCACTGGTTTAGTACCAAATTCCATAGAAAATTCCATTCATTACGGCGTTAAACATGTTAAAACGAATACCTTGATAGAACATGTCATGGTAATTTTAAAGCATTTCATTCACACTTGTAGTTATTTTCTCTCCCGATCGAACGAGAGTTTACATGATTTTGTTTGTTGTCGTAAATTTATGTTGTAAATTTGTTTCTGTTTACCATGCCAATTTTCAAACATGTAAAACATCAAGGTGCAAATATTTAAAGATTGAACGGTATTTTGTCAGTGTTGGTACGGGTTTGAACTTTGAAAAATGGTGCTCAATACATCCATTTACATTTTAGATTTCATAGTAATTACTGATTTAAATAAAGATATTCCTTATATTTTCGATATCGAAGTGTCTGTGTCGTCAGTGCAAACGACATTCCTGTAACAGCCTTAAGTCACACCAATGTTTGCTTCTAACAGTTGTATTACGTTCGTCGAAGCGGGAGGAAAAGCTTCAAAATGATGCTGATCAAAATGCGGTCATATTCCTATAAAACGCAACTGTTTTCTCGAAATGCTGGCAGAGGAACTTGCACTTGAAACGTATAAACAAATACACATGTAATGGTCAATAATCTGAATTAAAAACTGGACATGCGATTTACAGAACATATCTGACCCCAGAGTTATCTATCCTTTTAAAATAGTATCGTCGAGGATAATAACTCACGATTACAAATTGGTATGGATATTTATCGGTAAGAATTAATAACCGCGCTTACTATACGATCTGCTAATCGCTCTAAGTATTTTGTCGTAATGTTGATAATGACACCCCTGTATATATTTCTACTGATACACATGTTGTAAGTGGATCATCATGCTGCTACCTAGTTGAACTAGGCGACGAGCGATCAACTCGGAGTGATAATGATGTACTAAGTGTGTATATTTTGTTAGAAGAACATGTGACTCAGATTTCTGTCAGAATTATCAACCCATCAGTAGATATGGCGACTTTCAGGGAAAAAAATACGGGTCGGCAATATTTCAACAGCATAGATTATACGATATGCCGCAATGGATGGACGGATTTTTATAATTTACCTGAATTTTAATTGCAGCAATTTGCAGTGTGTATAGTGTTGTAAATGGGAACTTGTCTTTGTTGGGATGACGTTGTTGATGTCTTGGTAATTTCTTAAGGTTGTATTTTCTCATAATCGGTTACTGCCTTTTTCAATGGATGGAACCTTCTAATTTACAATTTAGTAATTACATATGCTGTTTCTTTGATATAATGTTATTTATTTTCTTTTTTATTTATGATTAAACTTATTCCACATTATCATAACGCTCAAACCTGCTTCATATCACCTACTTCAAACAGCTTACACGCACAGCGATAAACTGAGATAGAGTTATAACAATGTATTTAGTATGTATATTGTAACAAGAACACGAGGCTCTGTTAGATCATCAGTAGCTTACGTAAGAAGGTACAAATGATACCGGGCGGTAAAACCGTAATTATATAAATAACTCAGACATCTACTTCATTTCTTATGTTACAAGTCACTTACGTTTGATGCTTGAAACATTCGTAATTGGTTACTGATTGCTACTTATTACTGCGGTATGGTACAGAAATCCTACTGCTGAAGTTATTCCCTCTAATTTGAATGGCAAATTGCCGAGCCAGAACTCAACGCCATTAACGAGTGCACTGAGACGTATTTCCCTGACCAATTTGTCCCGTTTGAAATGCAGCTGCCACTGGCATTTCAATTTTCAAAATTCCGGGGAAAACATTGCTGCATCTAAAACAGCAGTTAACCTGATGTGAATAAAGGATGCAATTCGAAGGAATTTACAAGATTATTTAACCAAACATTTGGCTGAGCACCGAAATCACTCAGTGCATACTATAATGGTTTGGGAATACTGCTAATATTTAGTATGATCAAGTACACACAATCGTTTGCGAATTAGGTCACGTGTCCAATTACTCAAATCTGTGTTCCTTTAGTACGTCAAGTACAATGCATTTAAAAATAAAATAGTACTAAGCTTACACAATACATTTTAGGTTTCTTGACTTCAATATTATTTTTGATTCATTTACCATTGTAATTTCTTTCATTGCACTAACATATTTTAACGTATACATGGCATATCACTTTAAAAATATATATATTGTCGAGATGTCTCTTCCTTATCTTATTTTTGTGTGTGTACAGCATTGTCTGCTTACCTTTATTTGAAGTTATGCAATAACACAGTATGTGATATTACGTTGTTTGTTTTGTTATTACAGGTGTATCATACTGAATCTCAATACATAACGTTAAGCTGACTATACTTGTATTTGTTAAAAATGTGTAAAGAATAACCAGCTTACGTTAACCTAAAGTCATGTACATACATATATATGGTATATTTATTGTTTATCGGTGAGAGCTTTCATCACCATCGGTGTTGTAAGCTTGTGTGTCTGGTAAGCACCATGCAGATTCTCCAGAGGTAACGGTTCACGATCAGCCTTATTACTGTATTACATGGCACCTTAGCTGTGCATCAACATGTACCGCCATAGCTTTACAGTAACCGACAAATTCAGTATAGCCTATAAATGTATATAAATGATGTTTAAATTCAGATACCGGCTGTGAATCAACGGTATGCTCGCAATTGTGCTCTGTGGTTGTCATTGCCCCGATTTTTACATTGAGGACATGCCATTACTCTAAGTTGATCAAGATTTACATCTTTTCGATGAAGAAGAAGACGACGCTCATCCTTCAGGATTACCGGGTCTCATCCTTTTTGTTCTTTTCCAAGGGTTTCCGAGAAATCTGTCCTTTGTTCATATTTTGATTTAGTAATTTAATCAGCTTGAACGTCCTTTAATGACCTTAGATGTTAATAGGACGTTAAACAAAATTAAACCAAACCAAGTGAACCAAACCTCATCAGCTTGAGTTCGAATTATGGTTTTGTTTATCACTTCGGACTTCTCTTGCTGTTTTTGGTAACCAAAAAACAATGAAAATAAACGCCTGGAAATGCTTATATTACACCGTTTATGTGAAAATCCTGTTATCTGTTTGATCAATACAAAGTGTTCACCACTTAATATCAAATTTTGTAATATTTTGAGACAATGGGAGGGTGCATAACGAGGGCAATGGATGACAGCTCAGAACGACAGTCGAAATGTTGGCTGCGCAAAACAAGGTGCGTGTACGGCAGGTTTCCGCCGCTGCGTCTATTTATTGGGTTTTATTTTCCAGAGTGGCTGCGTCTGAATGGTCGCCATGATGTTCACATGTAACACTGATTCTGGTGGATGTTTGAGTTGTTGACTGATGTTTTTGTAGAAATGTGTGTGAGAAAAGAAATGTTATAAATTTCATATGTTTTTGTTATTGACTTTCTGCATTTCACAATAAATGCTGTATTAGGGTCATCCCATGGGTATAAGTGTCACCCAAGGCGAGTTAGAACGAATTTGTCTGATTTTAAAAATGATATTTTCCGCATGGATAGCTTCTACTTTAATATTTCGGTCTGCATTTCCGCTAATGACATTTTGTTAATTGACACATGCTTGATAAAGTTTGAAATTTTGTATTTCTTGTATTTAACTAGACCAGTTGGTTTTAACATCAGCAATGCATTTTTAGAGATATATACTTAATCTGATATCTCATATTTTTTTTTTATGAAAGGGGAATTAAACATTTTTCTAAATATGAGTAATAGACCTTTTTTATTTCTTCTATCGTTAACATTTGATATCATCCTCCGGCGACGGTTTTACGAACGTTTCAAAACTTCAAAAACTAATTAAAAGTTAATGGAAAATTTCTTTCACTTAACAAGTTTCCTAACGTAACCTCTTATAACACTTTTATATGGAAAAAAACTGAATCAATGCTCGTGCATGGTGGGCTGAACTTTAATAGAAACAATCATCAGTAACACTGCACAAACCGTGCACAATAAACGTCTGTCTGGGAATTGCATATAACGAGGAATAATATAACGGACTTTGATTCAGCATCAATATCATCACCATCATCGTCACCATCATTGTCATCAAGATATGGGAATATGTCTCAATTGTTCTTCGAAGACGCTCGTAACATTTCTTTCATCTCGTACAATTGGAAATGTATGTTTGTGACCAGTTTCTCCAGGTTTTCCAGTCTCTGATTCACATGGAGGTTTTCCTCCTTGAGAGAAGTAACTATGTCATTCACCTCGCCCACGCCTTTAGAAACCTCCACCGTTCCGATTGCACACTCGCGTAGATGAGACTTGATGAGGTGGGATTGGTTCATTTTCCTGATGGCGTCCAATAATTTCCGGCGATGACGTAGAATATACCTATGATTCAAAGCGTAACCCCGCTTTCGTAACCGCCACACAATGAAAGACTGTTTTACAACATCCGCCGCCGCGTGCCGCTTTAGTTTATCCATATGAATTTGCTGAACGAACGTATGAACGTATCGTTCAGGTCTCGTTTGTTCTAGTTTTCGGGCGAGAACTGCGACGCAAAGTGCCATTATACCGACTCCCATTAGTCCTGTTTGTATTGCTATAACTCTACCACAAATACTTTGTGGTGTGACGTCACCGTATCCTAAAGTGAGAAAGGTCACGGCCGTTAGCCACAACGCTTGTGCGTAGTGATCCTTCCCGTCCGCAGGGTTCGTGTGGTACTCACAGACTCTTAGCGACCAGCTGTTTATCAGCAACGTTGTCACCAAAATAGCCGAGAGACACGTGCCTGGTCGCGTCGTCATCAACGCCTTAAACACAAACTGGGCGTTGATGTTGACTTTACTAAGAGTCCCAAGGCTCTGAACTGTCGTGTCCTTGAAGAGGTCGCTGTGGACCACTAGGAATCTTCCGAGTATGTATAATCTAAGGAACATTAAAATGGCTAAAATGGAATTGAGCGGCACATACCGCGTGTTGAATTCGGCTCGTTCCGCCTCAAACTCAACAACAGTCATCGGAATTTTTATATCACCGAATGGAAATGGATGGAAGAAGCATACGATTGCCTCGGCGATCATTTTTAACACAGTACTATACGTGATGACGAGTTGCCAGTTGTCCAGGCCCGCACTTACGATCTTCAGCTGTATGCCAATAAGATTATAGGCAACTACGGACAACACTAGTAGCACACTAGTAACGGTAGTTATCGCGCGCATCGTGATAGATATGGCGTCCAAAGGGGAGACAATCCCTGCAAATTGAAGTTCCGTGTCGATCACTATTATAACGACACCAGTAATGCTTAATATAAACGACAAGTCGACCACCATGGACCGCTTACCGATTAGCTCTTTGCGTCTGCGCAATCTGTGTCCAAGATGTTGTTTGATTTGCGGGGACTTCATTCCGGAACTCATGGTGATTTTGTCTTCTTCTATTAGATGATCTGTGCTGACGTAACGAGCGTAATATCCATCACTTTTAACTAGCGGAATGCCTGGACCTTCCATCACTCGACACAAACACACTGGGATCTACAACACACAAAAAGGTTCAGAGGTGTGAAACATTCAGGATGTAGACGTGTCATGGTTAAAATTGAAATTACACTATATGTTTGTCGGTAAATAGTACTACATTGGCACTACTAACCATTTACCTCATTAAAAACAAGTCGGCTGTAAACCTATATAGACACAGATTCCACCACAAACAGATGATGCTGCAATTTTCTTTCTACCATTATCTTTATATTCTAATATTTTATCCTTTTGCATGATGAAGAATACCATTAACTGACTTCAGCTCACAAATAATAAACCCGAAGATGAAAGCCTCGCTATTTAAAATATGGGTTAGGAATGTATTTCAAACAAAGAGCGACTGCTTTCTTTTTCAAAGGTTTAATCACTACCAGGTATATGTAATGTACATGCGCATTTTGAACTTTAACTTTGAAAAAATAATCAATAGATATTCATCTCTACATCAGACGAATGCAGCATATCACTAAACAACCTTTCTCTTAGGCTGCACACGTTAACATATTGTTTAACCTGCATGCAGATGCAATACACAGTCTCCCACACCGTGTTTCATTGTACATAAATAATAAAAAGGGAACGACCTAACTGAAATATACACAGAGTTTGATAATCAGTTTGATGTCGTGTGTGAAGATGCGTTATAAAAGATGGCTCATCGACTACAACGTAAAGGTAAAAACGCAAGGTCGGTCGATCTAGGCAGTCAAATTGGACCGATGATACCAGCAAATACAGTCGAGAAGATATATTACACGAGTAACATCGGTTCATTTTGTGATCAAAATAGTGTTTTAATATTTTATGCATTGTCCTTCATACTTCATTTTGTAAAACTATACTGAACGTACACAATCGTTTCAGTATGCTTACAAAATCTTGCAATCGCATCCCAATGGCGGTATGTTTCAAACACTTTATATTAATACAGACGTTTACCACCACTACAACTATGCGCAAGTCACATACTGCTTTGAACTCCTTTAGCAATATGTGCAACGGGAAGTTAACCGGAAATGAACTGTAATGCCTGGAGTGTATATTCATCAAAACACACTCCTTCATGGAAAATAGCGAGGGTGGCAGGAGTATAGTTTGAATATTGCTCAGGAATGTTTGATTTGGAAGGCCGGTATAAGGTGAACTCCGAACAGACATTTTCTTTCCAATCAAAGACGCTGCAAGTGAAAGAAGACCTTTCGGAGTAGCAGACTGACCGGCCAGTCACTGTTGCTGACGGCTGTCTAACTCACCCTTGTGACGGAAGCTGCAGACGTGCCGTAGGATAGAGTCTGGACGTATTTTTGAATTTATACTCACCTTGTCATAGAGTGACACGTACGTTAATAATATAGGTCAAGGTAGGGCGATCTATTGATTTCAGAAATCAAGATGTTCCAAAAACTGGAAAAACAACCTATTTACATTAATGTAAAATTAATTTCTTTTAGCCCTTTTTAAACTGCTTTCGTTAACTTTTTGTAAGGCATACAGTGTATCAGTATTGAGGATTTGTTTTGTTTTTCATGAATAATGATCAGCTTTGGAAATTTAAGTCAACAAACACAAATTGCATTAAAGTAAACAAATAATCTGTCCGATGCAAATTTGTTTTCTCTGCCATTGGCTCCTGTGAGCATGTTGACAGAAGATAAATCATGACAAACTCCCCTCAGATGATGTAATTACAAGTTGTTGATAAGCGATTACAGATCTATCTAGCGAGGGCAAATTGATTCGTCCATTGCTGACATTGTGCTTTTGGTTGCTATTAATCTTTCATTATTCCTCGCACAGTCCAGTAAATTGGTAATGTACAAATCACGAAACGTTCCGAAAATAAACGAAAAGAAAAACACAAACTATCAGCACAATAACAAGAAACGAAACGCAAGACTAATTGTTTGTGTGCATACTTTAGTACAGATGTTGCCTACTCGAATCAAGCACTCATGCTTAAACTTAACATGAATGAGTAAAATAATACTTTCATGAGATGTGAATTATAGATTACCACCAAAGTCGGTCAACACGGATATTTTTCTAGACAGACTAAGTGAATCACAAGGCTAGAATACATATTTCGCTTTTGATTTGTGGTCATTTCTGAATCAGTCTAAAAGATATGAAGACTGTTCCCGTATAGAAGATTATATTTGTAGGGTGGGTGTTGTCAATGTTATTAATACCGACCGCGGGACATAACTTACAGTTACCTACAACTAAATCATTCCATACTCTTTAACATCGATTATATTGTTGTTACGTAAACATGTTCCTAGCTAGCTCATATGTCGACTTTACCTATTGTAAACGTACTTATTTTGGCCCTTCAAATTTTAGCCCGTAACAAATTTTTAACAGAATAATGCAATGATGAATTGGCGAAATCACAAAATAAGAAACAGAAGACAATATACATAGAAAGTTCATTTGACACAATGATAATTAAGCGCAATACTTTAAGCGCGTAAAATTCTAAAATAGGATTACCGCTAAAATGTGTAAGTATACAATACCACGAGTCGTCCTGACAAATGTGCATGAGAACTTCGAGTGAAATATTACACTAGTTTTACCTGTGACTGACGACATGAAACGCTCGAAGGGCACAGACTCTATAGTAACTGGTTTCACGTGTCTTGAGTTTTCTCACCTGTAATTTTGAGAATTATATCCCCTTTGAGATGTTCCATGAGAACGGGACCTCCTTCAAAGTAACAAACAACGTGTACTTGTACGGAACCACTAGTTAAGTAATGGTACAGTATCATGACAGCGTGGACCAGGAACTTTAACTAAAGATTCGTAACATCGTCTATTCACGTCTAATGCTTGCATGAGACAGGAACCAACTTTACTGGCTACCGGCCATGTGGGGTAGGAACTAGCTATAAACTGGTTACACGTGTAATCACATGTAATGCTCGAATGAAACAGGAACTTACTTCACTGGTTACCAGCAGTCTGGGGCAGGAACTAACTATGAACTGGTTACACGTGTAATCACGTGTAATGTGCGCATGAAACAGGAACTTACTTTACTGGTTACCAGCAGTCTGGGGCAGGAACTAACTATACACTGGTTACACGTCTCATGCTAGAATGAAACAGGAACTTACTTTACTGGTTACCAGCAGACTGAGGCAGGAACTTACTATGAACTGGTTACACGTGTAATCACGTGTAATGCTCGCATGAAACAGGAACTTACTTTACTGGTTACCGACAGTGTGGGGCGGGAACTAACTATATACTGGTAACACGTGTAATCACGTGTAAAGCTAGCATGACACAGGAACCAACTTTACTGGTTATCGGCAGTGTGGGGTAGGAACTAACTATAAGCTGGTAACACGTGTAATCACGTGAAATGATCGCATGACACAGGAACCAACTTTACTGGTCACTGACTACGTATCCCAGGAACTAGCCATACATTGGAAGCCACGTATAATCACGTGTAATGCTCGCATGCACGAGACAGGAATTAGCTTTACTTGATACTATTTTAACCAAGTGCATCAAAGTGTTACATTCGAAGGGGATAATGACAAAGAGATTGCTTGTAAATGTCATCACAAAAACAGAGGTGTTAGCCTGAAATAACTTTACTGGTACATGTAGCTTAACACCTTTAACGCTGGTGTCTGACAGTCGTTTCTATCAAACCACGACATTTTACAGAGCGTATTGTCTCCTTGTGTTTACGTCAACAGTAAACAATTCATATTCTGAAACGAAGGCATGTCTTCATAAAGACAAGCTATTTGTTTACACCAAGCCTTGAACGTGACCAATTTCGTAATATGTGTTAATAGCGTGTAATATGGAATGCGTTTATAAACCATCCTGCCCTTGACCTTTTACATTTGTCTGTGATATAGTAGAACTGTGACGTTCTGACGAGTGGATACTGAAGAACAATGGTATCGAGTGGATACTGAAGAACAATGGTATCCAGGGAATAGAATAAATAAAGTAGATAAATCAGACTCGTCTGATCCAAAATAGTATCTCGAAAAAGACGCCTTCTAGATATTGAAGTACAGACTGATCAACTTAGCCACCTACCTGTACTCGCCAGTAACCCACTGGTATTCCAAGACAAGAAAGCAAGAAAGGACGCCATTATTCTCGTGAAAATCTCGTTGAATATATACTAGATGCAGAATATGTCACGTTGCATGTGTTTAGTGCTAACGTGTTTTAAGACTACAATATACGATAACATCGGCTGTAAATAAAAGCATGTTTGTATGTGACAGTGAAAGGCATTTCATTGCCTGGTTCAAAGGGAATGGAGAATAATATACAGAAATGAATACAAAAATGTTTTTGTTGTGTAATATTAGAGTTTTGTGTTGTTTAACACTGGTTTGGTTTAATACAACCCGAGAATACGGACGACATCCTTTTCAATTTTAAAAGAATGGCATGAATCATTTAACCAGAATTCGCTATTGATATATACATGTATACCTAGCAATTTCAATTAATAAAATACTGATAATTAATGAAATTAATTCGAGGTTCTTATATACCGCTTTATTACAACCTCGTTCGTTGGTCGCTCATAGCGGTTCACAAATTAGCATCCGTGATCAAACACATTGCAATTTGAGCAAGAACATCAAGTTAGAATTGAAACAAAAATCCTTCTGAACAATTAAATTTCTCCGTATTACATTACATATTTACATTATTTCAAGTGCTAGGGACTCATCTTACAAAACAGTAGTATGTACAACGTTTGTCGTATAGGGCCTTAATAACGAACCTTTTTTCGGTTTATTGGATTTGATCTAACAACGTACAGGTACTTACAATTACGTTATTATGATTGATACGCATATCAAATATCAATAAATTGCATCAAACCCGTTTTTATGATTATTTTTAAAATTTAAATTTGCTTCATAAAGAATTATATCAGCGTTATTGATTAGTATATATTGAGAACAATTGTAAACTGCTTCACATGTCGGAAT